AAACCCCCCTTTAACCTTATTACGTGAGATTTTGGCCTTATTCACGTATAAATTTCAACAGATTAATCGCAAGCATCGATGCCACCATGTAGGTGGCCAGCACATATCATTCGATCAGTTATACCACCAGCATATACCTTTTTACAAAGTTCTTGACTGACTATCGGTACAGAAGCTTTTCGAAGTTTATCATTCGGCGCAAATGGATTTTTTGTTAATCCTATGACAAAACATTATTATTAATCGGTCCAAATTTAAAATTCATTCAATACTTACCCCATCCGGTAACAATAGATTTAGTCCCATCCCATATTTTTTGATTGGAACGTATCAATGCGATTGGACGAATTTTGTTCCCAAATTTCAATGATTTGGCCAGAAAAATGAGAGCAAAATCGTAATCGTAGCTCTCCGTGTCATACTTTTTATGTATAAAAACACGTTTTATTTTGACAATTTCACCGCCTTTCGCATGATATGATGAACCAACGCGCAATTGGTAATCGCTCAAAGAACGAGAACTGAAATATCGATTTTTATTCAAAAATTAATCAAAAAGTTAACATTTGATTTTATATATTACCTGACAAAACAATGAGCAGCGCTCAACACAAACGTTTCACTGATTATTGAACCACCACAGCTGTGCTTGGAACGAAACAATAGAGCAACTTGCCATGGATGTTTCTCGATGATAGTCTCATGCCCACCAACAATCATACCAGCATGATGAGCGTATGGATTTTCTTCGATATTTGATAATTATAATGATCTACTGGGAATTGCGGGTTCATGAGCTGATCCGGGTTTAGGGGTTGGTACGGATTCAAGAGTTGACATAGGATTTTCCGGTTGATATGGGTAAAGTGTAAGTTTTTCGCGGTATGCAATTGGAATTGCTAAAGCACAAAAATCAACTAAAGTAGAATTCAAATTTTGATTACGATAGGATTACGTACCTGAAGTCGGTGCAGACAGGAAAATGTTTAAAATCACACATAAAACGAATTGAATCATCTTCAAGAATTAAACACATTTACCAGATATAGTTTTTTGAAGGTTGTGTAATTAGTATGAATTGATAAGTTGGACTAAAATCGGTGAAACAATACAGTTGCTTTTATACTTCTCAGATAGGTGTTGACGTCCAGGTTTTGATGTTCGACGTGATCGCTTTTCTATTCAAAGAATGTAAAGTATTTGTTTAGACTCAATTTTTTGCCTGCCGAAGATATATTGTTATCAATTCTGTGTTAGAATTTTTATTGACTTCTTATCATCCAAAAAATTTGTATTTATTCCAAGCAACCAAAAGAAAAACTGAAAAATACATGCAGCTACCGGCGCCATTTGGTACGATTGCGAAAATATCACATGATTACCATGATATCACATCATTTATATGGGAAACAAAGAAAGTCGTGAAATCAATGTTCTCAATCGCATGTAATTTAAATTTGCAACAAAAAAATTCGTTGAAAAACATTCTAAATGCACATTCCAATGACTGAATACTAAAAATAACTGAAAATTAGTCATGGATCGTATTGATAATAGTATTCGAAATAAATGACGCTTTGGTTATTCTTTTGGTTTTAGCAAATATGCAGAAGAAAAATTAAATGTTGTCAATAAATGTCATTAAAATGAATGAATATGCGTCATTTTTTGTAAATTAATACTTGTTCAAACTAAATCGCTTCAAACGATGTTCGAACAATAAACTGAAAACAGATGTTTATATCGGGGAGTGTGAATAGTTTGAAATTCAATGAGAAATTTGCATAAAATACGATGAAATGTAAATGTCAACAAAAGAATGTGCTTTTCATATACAATGTTGTCCTTTGGCACATGCTTTTGTTTACGTTTGCTGTGCAGGCAAGTACGCAATAGCATACATCACACCGAGTTGCTCTTGGCAACGATTCAATTATTTAATCGATATAAACAATACACACCGAAACCATGTACTATGGTATGCGCTTACTACGACCTAATTTGTATCGACGTCTGTAGTTTCAAATTCCCCATCGAGTAGTCATTTTTTAATTTTAAATACGGCTCAATATTTTTGGCGAAACAAAACGGAAAAAACATCTAAATATAAAGTTTTTGTGAGAGAAAGTGAGGAATGACCGGCTTTTTTGTGACTTTGATATAAAAAGTATTAAAACAACTAGGTGAAACAAACAAATTGAGAAAGGAGTTGGTGCTTTGTATGAAATCAAAAAAAGGAAGGAATAGACGGTCTTGAATAAAAAAATTGGTGTCCCAATCAAGTTAATCAATCAACAAAGACCCTTGAAAAAAGGACAAAAACGTCTTATCGAATTTAAAACGAATCAATTAAAAATGGAGAGTTTAATGGTTCCCACCAAAGATGATCTGAAATCAATTCAAAAGCGTGAATTTCGTCAACGTCAAGAGCAAGCCCGTAAGCAGCGCATTTTCAATCCTCGTATTCGATTGATTGGCATCGACAAAGTTGCCTTGGATCAATCGGTCGAAGAGAAGCAAAATCAACGCATCGCCCGATACAAAGAAGAACTGTGCTATGCGTTGGAGCAAAATCGTCAAACGGAAATCTTAAACGCCCAACTCGATGAATTGGCCGATGTCAAATTCCAAACGCAATGCGAACTGAATGAATTTCGAACGCATTTTCAGCGTAAAGATCAGTCTCGTGATTATGATTTGAATGATCCCGAAGGATTGAGAAAAATGTCGCCATTGGACGATGTTGATTGGTTGGGTGAAGATCCGGATAATTTACATCGCATCAAATTGCAGCGCGAGCAACAAAAATCATGGCTTCAACAGCAAATTGAAGAGAAAAATCGTACCAAAAAAGATATGACCGAAGCGAAAATGGCAATTGAATTCGATGCACTGCATAAAGATGAACAATTGAAAGCAACCGCACAAATGGAACGACAACAACGACAACAATTGCAAGCGGAAACAGCACGTTACAATTTGGCGTTGGCACGTGACCAACAAGCCAAACGAATGGAGAAAAAGCGCAAGGAAAATGAAGATAATTTGGCCGAAATTATGAATAATCTAACGAGCGAAATGCTGATGGAAAGCAAAGATGCAGGTATATCGTCGAGCCTGTTTGGCGGTCGACGAGTAAATACAACAATGTACCGCGGCATGACTGATGAACAATTGAAAGAAATTAAGGAAGAACAACTGCGACAAGTGGCAGAAAAACGCGCACAATCGGCTAAGTCGAAAGAGAATGACGCATTTTATGATGGGACAATGGAAGCTCGAAATAATTTACTTGCAGCCGAAGAACAAGATGTCAGGCAATACAAATTACAAACGCTTATCGAACAGAAATTTATGAATGACCAATTGCGAAGAGAACAAAGACAAAGAAATCACTATTTGAACGTAGACGTTTATAAATTCAAGCCGACTGAAGAGTATTTTGAACAATTTAATACAACTACTAGATAAGATTTTGTGAATTACCTTTTTGGAGATTTTTTGGAGCTTTTATCAAATAAAATTTGGATTTTCTTTTAAGATTAGTGAGTTTTATTTTAAAGTAGGACATCAATGCCAAAAGAACAATCAAATGAGCATATGGAATTTCTAGGCAATTCTTTATTGATTTAGACTGTCTTTACATTTAGGTCTCATAGAATCTACAACCCGATCGTCCGACCTTCCAAGCCAAACCCGAAAAATGTGGGCATGTTTTGGTCTAAGTCCTTCGGGTACTCGGATATTTTGGACGTTCGGTCACATAAGTTCGACTTGAAAAATCTTCTGTCTATCATATCCAGGCATTAGTAACTTGTTGACGCCAAATATTATTAGTATTTCGAACAGTTGTCGCCTGAACGTTTCTAGCTTTTAAATATCGAAGCGCCTACAAATACTCCCAATAAACCATCACAAATAGCCAAGAAATCAGAAATGGAGTACAATTCAATCCTTTTGTTAGTCGCAAAGTGTTTAAATATCCCAATATATGAAAAATTATACACAATTGACACTTTCACTTCACTACAAAATAAATATTATGAAATTCAACTTGATATGTATTTTAATGGACGCAAAAGCTTTTAGAAAATACAATGTCAATGCT